TTTTGCAGAAGACTAGAGAAGAGAAAGGGACTCTGCCTGTGTATTGGGACTCTTTACTGCATACATGTCAAAGGTCTAAGGTCAATCTAAGTCCTCTAGGCTGCCTACTGACGGCCAGTATTTGTGCCTGGCTTTCGGCCCATAGTGCCATGGAATTAGGTGAATTTTCTTGGGGACAAAAAAGGAGGAGCATTTGGTTATGTAGACTACGATTCCATGAAATGTGCATTTAAAAACAAACAGGGAGGGGCGCCTGGGTGGCGCAGTCGGTTAAGCGTCCGACTTCAGCCAGGTCACGATCTCGCAGTCCGTGAGTTGGAGCCCCGCGTCGGGCTCTGGGCTGATGGCTCAGAGCCTGGAGCCTGTTTCCGATTCTGTGTCTCCCTCTCTCTCTGCCCCTCCCCCGTTCATGGTCTGTCTCTCTCTGTCCCAAAAATAAATAAACGTTGAAAAAAAATAAATAAAAAATAAAAACAAACAGGGACGTCAATAGTCACTGGGGAAATGCAAATCAACACTACTTCACATCCACTGGGATGGCTAACGCAAAAAAAGACACATAGCACCTGTTGGTGAGGATGTGCAGAAATCCCATACACTGCAGATGGGAATGCAAACTGGTGCACTGGATTTGGAAAATCGGTTCGCAGTTCCTCCAAACTTGAAAACTGGAGTTACCGTATGACCCCGTTACCTACTCCAGGCTATATACCCAAGAGAACTGAAAACACACGTCCACACAAGAACCTGAACATGAACGTTCACAGCAGCATTACGGACAACGGCCAAAAAGTAGAAAAAAATTCAAACATCTATCACTTGATCAGCAGGTAAACAAAATGTGGTATATCCGTATAATGATATATTATTTGGCCATAAAATGGAGAATTCTGATACATATTCCACCATGGATGAACCTGGAAAATAGTATGCTGAACTATTATGCTAAAAGAAGCCTGAGATAGGGGCGCCTGGGTGGTTTAGTCAGTTAAGTGTCCGACTTCGGCTCAGGTCATGATCTCACAGTTTGTGAGTAAGAGCCCTGCGTCAGGCTTTGTGCTGGCAGCTCAGAGCCTGGAGCCTGCTTCGGATTCTGTGTCTTCCTCTCTCTCTACTCTTCCCTTACTCACGCTCTGTCTCTGTCTCTCAAAAATAAACGTTAAAAAAATAAAAAAAAAGAAACATTTAAAAGAAGCCCGAGACAAAAAACCATATATTGTATGATTGCGTTTGTATGAAATACTTAGAACAGGCAAATCCACAGAGACAGAAAGCACATGAGTGGTTGCATGTGCTGGGAATGCGGGCGGGGCAGGAGAAAGAAAGGGAAGAAGGAGTGACTGCTACTGGGTATGGAGTTTCGTTTGGGGGGTGATAATAATGTTCTGGAAGTAGATAGTAGTGACGACTGCACGACTCTGTGAATATACTAAAAACCAATGAAGGGCACACTTTAATTTTTTTTAAGTTCATTTATTTTGAGAGAGAGAGAGAGAGAGAGAGAGTGTGTGTGAGAGACAGACAACGCATGTGCAAGTGGGAGAAGGGCAGAGAGAGAAAGAAGAATTCCAAGCAGGCACAGCGCTGTCAGCATGGAGCCCAACAGGGGGCTTAAACTCATGAACCATAAGATCATGACCCGAGCAGAAATCAAGAGTCAGAAGCTTAACCGACTGAGCCACTCAGGCTCAGCTTTTACGTGAAGTGCGCACTTTAAAAAAATGAATGTCGGGGCGCCTGGGTGGCTCAGTCGGCCTCAGTCGGCTCAGGTCATGACCTCATGCTTCATGAGTTTGAGCCCCACGTCGGGCTCTGTGCTGACAGCTCAGAGCCCAGAGCCTGCTTCGGATTCTGTGTCTCCCTCTCTCTCTGCCCCTTTCCCACTCATGCTCTGTCTCTGTCTCAAAAACAAATAAAGATTTAAAAAAAAAATCAAACAAAACAACACTCCCCGCCGAATATTATAATATGTGAACTAAATCTCAATAAAGCTGTTACTAAAAAAACAAACAAACAAACAAACAAACAAACAAATAGATTTTATTGTTACTGAGTGATAAAAAGGCATGAGCCCATGACACATGCTATAACATGGATAAATTTTAAAATCTTAATGTCACGTAAGTGAAAGATAAAAGCAGATCAGAGAGAGGTTGCTTCAAGTTGGGGATAGGAGAAAGAAGTGACTGCAAAGGGTTGTGAAGGAACTTTTTGGGGTGATGAAAATGTTCTAAAACTGGATTACATAGCTACATAACTGTAGCTATACATTTAGTAAAAATTATTGAATTGTACATCTATAACCGCTGGATTTTATGGCATGTACATTACCCCATCAAAAAACCCAGGAAACCCTGACAGACTACAACCAGAAGCGGAACATGGTACACACAGTCACTCCGGGACCCCGTGTAGTGGTACGTAACCAAATCCAAACACGTATGTGTACTCCAGGCTGCCTCCATTCTACCCCCAGGTTCATACCGAAGAGAGGTATGTCTGTATGCTGATCAAAAGGCATGGTCGAGAATTTTCATCATCATCAAACTGTGGAAACAATCCACACCCTCATGGATACTAAAGTGGATGAATAAATTCATTTAGGTGGAGTCTCACAGTGAAATTCGGCAGTTAAGAACGAACCACAACTAAGATGACCCTCAAAACCACTGCAGAGCAAAAAAAAAAAGCAAGACACAAAAAGGGACAGAATAGATAATTCTATTGCTATGAAACTGAACAACAGGCAAAGCGAATTCATGGTCTTGGTTACCCTTGGGAATGGACAGTTACTAGCAAGGAGATGGAGACGTTCCTGGGAAGCTGTTGGTGTTAGCCTCCTGACCTGGGTGTTGCTATTCTAGTGTATTCGGTTTGTGAACACGCATCAGGCTGTGTATGTGTTATGTGTGCACTTTTATGTATGTTACACTCCAATAACATGTCTAAAAAACAAATAGGACTGCACCTACATCTTTCTCTGCCTCCACAGCGATCAAAAAACATTTTAATAGTCACACATTTTAGGAGTAAGCAATAGACCCTAGGATAATTGCAACAAAGCCTTGTAGAATGAAAAACTGATTCCCTGATTTAAGGACGGGTCCATGGCTCTGCTCAAATTCAGAGAAAGTCCATTTCATGGAAGATCTTGCTCCCTTTGACAATTTAATGTGACAGAAACCATGATCTTCTCTAACTTTTTTGGGTAGTAAGCACCATGCATTCGCTCTGCACAGGTGATATATCGTGTAACTCAGCTCATTAAAACAATTTTTTTTAATGTTTACTTATTTTTGAGAGAGAGAGAGAGAGAGAGAGAGAGAGAGAGAGAAAACAAACCCAAAGCAGGCTCCAGGCTCTGAGTTGTCAGCACAGGGCCCAACACAGAACTTGAACCCACAAGCTGTGAGATCACGACCTGAGCTGAAGTCGGAGGCTTAACCAACTGAGCCACCCAGGTGCCCTCCGGCCTGTTTTTTAGCAAAAAACTTTGTAACTGTCATAACCTCAGCAACTGTAGCTACCAGACCTTGTATTCACTTGTGATATAAATTCATCATCCCCTACACATCCTCGGCATTCACCTCTCACAAAATCCCAAAGAGATTCTTCTTTTCCCAAGCAAGTTCTCTTGGATAAAAGCTTTTGAGTTTGGTCGTTTTATTTTTAGCTTGGTTAAAAAACAAAACGAGCCCAAGTGAGGTCTGCTATGCCAGCCAAGCTGAGACGTTTTACAGGTTTGCATGCTTCCTAACCCTCCCATTGTTCCCAGCCGACAAACGGTGCCCTTGACAAAGTGTCGGCTCCAAATTACTCGAATCTCAAGCATTTCTTGATGGGATCTGGCCACACACTAGCTTCTCTCACCATCCTCAGACAAAATCACACAGACAGGAAGGAAATGATCACATTCTTAAGCTCCCTTTCCTCTTCTTTTAGCTCCTTTCCAGACATATGAGCCGGGAAAATGGGCTCATTCTTATCATCAAAGTGCACATCAATGCGGTTATTTGTGGAATATAATCGCATTCCCCCTACAAATTCCCCCTTTGTGCCTACAAAGGTCATATGCCAGTAAACTGGTCCTTCTTATTGGGGGTGGGGGCACTCTTAAAACAAAACATTCCCGTGTAACTTACCCCACTAAAAATACCACAGTCTGTCCAGTGTTGATAAGAGACGCCAGCCCTTCCCATACTACCCAAGCTCACAACTTGTGAGGAGAGCACTGGCTTGGGAGAGAGGCAGTTCTTCACACCCAAAGAAAATTCCTTCTTATTCCTTCCTCCCTCCCAAGTATTGGGACTTGGATCAGCCTTATTCTCTGAGTGTTTCCCGAGCTCTAAGTCATAATGAGGACAAGTCACAGAGCCCGAGGTTGAGCCGTGAGGGCAGAATCAGACTTTTTCGTCTCCTGGGAGAGAAATAGATCTTCAGTTCCCAAGAGAATGTAGCAATGGAAAGGAGGAAGATGCCTGAAAACAATAAACTCATGTGTATCAGATACAGGAATCAAGCTGTAAAATAATGGTTTCAAAAAGGCCACGTGATGTCTGGTAGGGGTGGAGAACCTGAGGGGGAGGGAGGTCTTGCCTGGTGTGGAGGTGGGTAAGGACACCGTAGAGTGGAGTGCTGGGGGCAAGTCAAAGGATATTGAGACAACATCCCGATCTCAACGGGCAGACGGGTAAAAAGTAAGACACCCCAAAGCTTTCTGTAGACATTAACCCGTTAGTGTTGACATTAGAAGGTAAAAATACCGACAGAATGACTGACACATCGCTAGTCAAAAGGGCAGTTTTGAACATACAGCTACTTAACCGGGGAGTTACTGCCACAGTGCTTCTATTTATCACCCAGACAAGTCTCTTTTCGCAGAGCAACATATGCTCTCAATACCGAGTTCCAACTCTTGGCTGTTGCCGAACTCCTTTTCATTCGAAGTAATTTAGGATAAGGAATCTTGCTCTGGGCAAGAGCGTGTAATCCAAACATACCTTTAGAGGCTTCTGTCCCCAGTGGGTTTTCTAAGAAGTCTGTCATGTCATGGTTCCAGGCGTCGCGGACCGCAGACTTGGACACCACCCTGTCATTCAGCCCTTGCTGCGGTCGGAAGTTATTTCTCAGATACTCCACCGACTTGACGTGGTCCTGCTGCTCCGTAGTGAAGATGGAATAAAAAGCCTCGAGCTGAACCGAGAACCAGAGAGGGAAGGGAAAACAAGACCACCGATGAGAAAAGCTAAGTGGTGCAAGGTGGGTGGGGGTGACAAGAACACCAAATGCCAGGACTTGCCCAAGGCCGAGTCGGACAAGCCCAGCAGGACCCAGGTTGCCTGATGGAGTCACTGTCGACAGGCTTATCTGGCTGCGGTTTCTGTCCTGCCAGCCAACCAGTGGAACACTCCACCGGAGGGCTGTACGGAACTCTTTTAGTTGGGGTCTTGGAAAAGAGTTCTGGTCTCTCTGCTGTGCCCCCTGGCAAGACCGTTAGTATTCTGGGGAGGAGCACAAAGTTACGGTGAAGCTGGCAGGTTCTGGAGCCAGACTACCTGGATGGCAATTCTGACTCCACAGCTCAACCACTCTGTGGCCCCGAGAAAGTTGCCTAACTGCTCTGAGCCTCAAGTGTTCCTCAATAAAGTCGTGATAATTATAGCAGCATCTACCCCGATCGGGTGTGTGCCAGGACTAAATGAGATAATCTGTGTGCAGTGCTTAAAACAGTTCCTGGCACGTTAAGACTCGATAAAGACTAGTGACTGAATTCTTACTAAGCATCTTCTTACATACGTACTAGAGATTGAGTACACAGCAAAGCTGCTAAGGCTTAAAGCTGCTGGATGCAAGGCTTGTGAAGTAAACTGCCCAGTTTCAACATTTACCAGATGGGTAACCGTAGTCAAACTCTTAAAGGTTTCTGTAACTCAAGTTTCCATGTCTGTAAAAGACATCTATTACTAGTAGCTATCTTATAAAATTATGGAAAGGATTAAAATGTCTGGAAATTATTTAGCAGCCAGTAAGCCCATAGTAAAGGTTAGCTGCTATCACTTTCATTAATATTATTAAAAAACACTTTCGACAAGATTACTGGCCACACTTTTATGGAAAAGCAAAGAAAAAATAATCAGGACTCCAGGATCATACGTCCATTATCAAAAAGGATTTTCTGTGGCCATCAATCTTCTGTTCATTAAAAACAAAAAAAAAACAAAAAAAAAAAACAAAGTAATTTCAGGGGTACCTGGCTGGCTCAGTCCTTTAAGCATCCCACTTTGGCTCAGGTCATCATCTCACGGTCTGTGAGTTTGAGCCCCAAGTCAGGTTCTGTGCTGACAGCTCAGAGTCTGGAACCTGCTTCTGATTCTGTGTCTCCCTCTCTCTCTGACCTTCTCCTGCTCACTCAATCTCTCTCTCTCTCTCAAAAATAAATAAACACTGGGGCGCCTGGGTGGCTCAGTTGGTTCAGTGTCTGACTTTGGCTCAGGTCATGATCTCATGGTTCGTGAGTTCAAGCCCCACATCAGGCTCTGTGGTGACAGCTCAAAGCCTGGAGCCTGCTTCCAATTCTGTGTCTCTGGCTCTCTCTGCCCCTCTCCTGCTCATACTCTGTCTCTGTCTGTCTCTCTCTCAAAAAGAAACATTAAAAAAATAATAAGAATAAACATACAAATCAAAACCACAATGAGATACCACCTTACACCTGTCAGAATGGCTAACATTAACAACTCAGGCAACGACAGATGTTGGCAAGGATGCAGAGAAAGAGGATCTCTCTTGCATTGTTGGTGGGAATGCAAGCTGGTGCAGCCACTCTGGAAAACAGTATGGAGGTTCCTCAAAAAACTAAAAATTGAACTACCCTACAACCCAGCAATGGCACTACTAGGCATTTATCCACGGGATACAGGTGTGCTGTTTCGAAGGGACACATGAACCCCCATGTTTCTAGCAGCACTATCAACAACAGCCAAAGTATGGAAAGAGCCCAAATGTCCATCGATCGATGAATGGATAAAGAAGATGTGGTATACATATACAATGGAGTATTACTCGGCAATCAAAAAGAATGAAATCTTGCCATTTGCAACTACATGGATGGAACTGGAGGGTATTATGCTAAGTGAAATTAGTCAGTCAGAGAAAGACAAAAATCATGACTTCACTCATATGAGGACTTTAAGAGACAAAACAGATGAACATAAGGGAAGGGAAACAAAAATAATATAAAAACAGGGAGGGGGACAAAACACAAGACACTCATAAATATGGAGAGCAAACAGAGTGTTACTGGAGGGAGTGTGGGGGTGGGGTGGGCTAAATGGGAGAAGATTAAGGAATCTACTCCTGAAAGCATTGTTGCACTATACGCTAACCAATTTGGATGTAAATTTAAAAAAAATAAAAAATAAAATTTAAAAAAAATTGTGAAAATAAATAAATAAATAAACATTAAAAAGATTTTTTTTAAAGGATTTAAAAAAAAACAAAGCAATTTTATGATATAAGAGAAATGAAGCTGAGAATGGGTAACAGAGATGTGTTCTCAGTGGACCAGAAAGTTATCCTGGTCACCAAAGAAATAAAGTTAATCTAAAACGTCCAGCCATGGAAAATACTAACGCCTGAGGGATGGAATGAAAAAGAGAGACACTGAATGAACTCTTCCCGGCCCATTTGGCTCCCTGAATACCAAATCAGAATGCTTTCTTAGGACAGAATTACAACGTGAAAGATGTTAGATGCTTCCCAAGTGGGCACTGAGTGGCTGTCCTAGGCTTTGGGGGACAAGAAGGTGGCCAATACCAATGTGTAAAATAAACAAGAACAATATGACCGGGTGTCTTCCTGTTCCCCCTTCCCCTTTTTTTAATGTAGGCTCCATGCCCAACATGTGGCTTGAACTCATAACCCTGAGATCAAGAGTCACATGCTCTACTGACTGAGCCGGCCAGGCCTCCCCAATCTGGGTTTCCGGATGGTAATCTCGAGGCCTGGAACTAACCCCAGTGCTTCTCAAACCGCTTCAGAGAATGTCACAAAAATTGACCTGCTTGATCTGAAACTCACTCTCTTTGCATGAGAAAGCAATGATCATAGTGACTGTAGCCAAGAGAAATCATTTAAGTACCTGGATTCAGCTATCAGTCCACCTCCCCTCCAATTCTCCTGCAAATGTAAAGTGATAGTAAACCATGAAACCTTCCCTGCTTTTTCATCAAGGTAATAGAGTCAGGATGGTCTCTCAACGAGCCCAGAAGCAAAAGTAGCCTGGTACTGTGGTGTTATTCCCATTTTCTGCTGGTCACGTAACTTCTAAATAACTCATGTGGTGGCTGTTCAGAATTGCCTCTCTTCCCACTCTTCCTTCTGATGCTCCTTCTTTATTTACAGTGAAGAGAGAGAGGCAATAAAACCAGAAAAATTAAGAAAATTGGACTGTTTACTCTGCCAGATGGGACCCACTCAGATAACTGGAGGTATTAAAAAATCAAATTGCCCCAACCTGGCAATGTATATGCTTCTGATAGGACTGCCCAAATCAGAACCGAACACATCCACCCGTGAGAGAAAGTTTCAGGTTTTTCTTAGAGAAAATATCTTAACATTACATGGAAGGAATTAACAAAGAGCCTCTGGAGACCATCGAGGGAAAGACCAACCAAAATGATTAAAAGGATGGAGGATAAATCCCATGTGGAAAGGTTAAAGGAAGTGGAATTGTTTAGCCTGAAGAAAAGGCAAGTTAGGAGTAATTTGATTAAAGGCCCTTGTATGTGGAAGATGCTGAACAGCTCTTCTCCATGTCCAGAGAAGGCCAAAAAGAGGCAACTGGTTTAAATTAAAGCCTTAGAGACGTGAGTTGAATAAAAGGAAGAATTTCTTAACTCTCAGGGTGATTTTTTTTTTTTTTTAATGGCCGGGCTGCCATACATAGCAAGGTATACTGGAAATCTTCTGGAAGAGCAGCCTTCTGTCCTGAAATAGCATAATCTCTGAGATGCCAAAAAAGGATGGCCTTGGAGACTGTCTCGGCAATCTAAGATTTGTTTATTCTCTAGAAGACTTGCCTCTTTCACAGCTAGCATTTAGTTCTCCTACAAAGTTTATTTCTGATGCCTCAAGAATTGGTCATGTAACTGTAAGAGGCAGGTTCTGAATTTAACACAAAAATGCTTTTGCTTAAACTGCTTTTACAGCTTAATGACATGCCATGGCTTAAAAGCTCGGTAGCTTCCTTGTCATTACCTCAACTTGCCCAGAGATTTCCAAGGGAGGATGTGACGGTTCACGGAGTGAACTGATGACCTGAACGATATTATACTGTCATCTGGATCATAGCTTCACTGGACAGTCACACAAAAGAGGAAAAGGAGGTCAAGCTTAGCAGACTCATCAAATGTCCTTTGGTAGGTTGGCAGCATTCACTAGAACCCTGTCATTCCTCTAAGTTGAATGAAAGTTGCCAGTGGCCTCTCTTGTTGGTATCTGGCATGTTTGGCCATTGAGTGGAAACCGCCATGATCCCTGGGTTGGCAAAGGGAGTCTATGTTTTCACTTTGGCAGGTGAACAGTGATACTCTGGGTGAGAAATCCACTGCAGATTGTCCCTCGGCCCTTACCCTGGCTTTGTAACCACGCTCGATAAAGGGGAGCCCGGCCACCACCTGGACCTCCACTTTTTGAATCCAAGCAACACTATTTACAGAGACTACAATAAGAAACACTATTTACAGAGACTACAATGAGAAGGTGTCCTCTAGGATTGTACCACACGGCAGCAATGCCCAACACGGAAGCCACAGGACAAACTGTCAACCCTTCTAGACCTGGTTGACAGCTGCACAGCGATCTTTTAGAAAAGATCATGCCTCCGTTCAAAGCTTTCTAGGGCCTCCAATTCTAATGGTGGGGCCCTAAACTCATAACTCTTACTCTTGCTATCTGGGTTCAAAACCCTGTTTTCAATTCCTACTTGCTACATGGGTGACCTTTGGTCAAAGTATTTGATGTTTCTGTGTTTTGGTATTCTTACTTGTACAACAGAGATAACATCAATACCTACCCCATGTAGTCCTTGTTACTATTAAATGAGTTACTATATATAATGTGTTAGGAATAATTCCTGGCATACAGTACATATTCACTAAGTATTATTATCATTACTATTAGTCTTATTTTATGAG